CTGAATTTTGGACCACATATATAACTCAAGATGGCAATCAAAATTTCTTGACTTGAAGCAAATGCTACATAACTTATGCTAAGAAATCAATGTGCACTGAAGTCAAAACAAAGTTGTCAAGCACATCAGGTACAGACAGCGGATGGCAGAAATTACTTTTGTGCTAAAGCCTTATGTAAAATACAAATAAACACCTAGGCCAGTAATGAAATTGTCAGATTCCCCTGGAGCTGGCAAAGGCACTGCTAGTGCTCCCAACAGCTTGACAGGACTATGTTACTACTCACTGAACAGCTAGGGCAACAAGTGTTTCCGGAAAAGTCACAGACTGGTGTCTCACTATACTCTTTTTAGGAAGCAGAGAGGGAGGAACACTGCATTATTTCTACGGGTATTGTACAGCCTAGAGAGGGAAAAAACTTCCATATAAAACCTGGAAGAGGCAAAGAGACGAAGAGAAGGGAAAAAATGAAAATATAAATAAAAATAAAGCTGACTACCAGAAGAGTAACAGAGTATTAGCAAATTCCTTTCTAAAGCTTCAGTTTATAAAGTTAATGATTAATGAATTTGTTAAAACAGAGATGAAAGGCAATGAGCAAAGTTCCAAAGTAAACCAGACTGATTTCACTGGTTCTTAAACCAGTCTCCTAACTCATTAAAAAAAAAACAGTACCTGTTACCCTGTCCAGAAGCTTTTTACTGCCTTGCATAGGATTTCAAAGAGTAAACCCACCAAAAGTAACAGATTTACTCCTAGAAACAACTGTTTATAAAATGGAGTCCTCTGTCTTCATTTTAAGTTTACTATCCATCCCACTAGCTTTTTTCTTTTAGTGCCAAGAAGGGAAAAAAGAGGTTCCCACAGTTGCATGAAAGGCTAGGTGTGGCCAGGAGAAAACAAGAAGCACCTGCACCAAAGCCGTTGGTGTTGTCGCTCAGTGAATAACAGAGCACAGAGTCAGGATATCAGCTAGCTCACTGTGGGCACACTGGGATTGTTTCATTGCACATCTATGTAAAATCATTTCATGAACCGTGAGGAAAAAGATCGCCCCTCTTGCCTATTATCAAACTCTTCAAAAAAACCTATCCATTATTCATAATTATCTTCTAATGCTTCTCCCATTTGCCATATGCAGAGTCACCCCAGTGAGCACTGTCTCCTTTTGCTAGACTTCACCGACTGTGGTATTTCGGACTTGCCCTGGCAGCTGAGCAGTGGGATCAGGAAAAGCAGCGTTTGCAGATGGCATTACAAAACAAGCATGCAAAAGGGCTGAACAATCCTAGTTTTGAAACAAGGTTTTCAAGCTGACAGGTACCACTAAGGAGGACAGGATGCAGCACTCAGATCTCACTCATCCATATGGTCTCCTGTCGACGACCTTTGCAAAGGACAAATCAATACTAAGCAGATACTGTATCTACCATTTCTTACTGTGTAGGAAAGGTCAACCCATTTTCATGTATGTATCAGTTCCAACATTACTGTTTTCAGACACAGAACTGCTGCTTAAACCTGGGAATAAAGAAAAAATTCTTATCTTGCACATAGCACCATTTCAGAACCTGTGATAATTTAAAAAAAAAAAGACTTGGAATGGAAATATTTCATAAGCAAGGTATGATGCTTATAGAAGGAATGGTAAGTTTTACCTTGCTATCATGAAATTATCTCTATAAATACATGTAAATGAAATTCTAAACAGCATTTATAAGACTGCTTCCTCAGCAAAATCTGCTACCATCTGTGTGTTTTACCACAGAAGCAAATATTTTTTTTTTTAAATACTAAGCAGTTTACATTCAGTTTGTGCATGCCCGCTGCACCTTTTTTCGTTCATATGCACAGGCCACAGAGATTATTCTCCTATAATAGTTCACTTAGATGGAATATTTTGAGAGAGGCCTTTATAGAAATACACGTTTTGGTTCTATATTTAAACTTGATACCATTTAGCTCAATGCCAAATCTTTTCAGCTTCAGTGAGAAAATTCTATAATACACATATTGCCACAGTCTAGGAAATGCCTGGTGCTGAAATCTTAGCTGAAATTTCTTGCTTTTTTAAAAATATATATTTGAATTCCTTAAAGTATGCCTAAGTTTAACATTTTATAGTACCTGAAAGTTCAAGAATGAATATCAAAATTCTATTCAACAACACTCCGTTTAAATGAAAAAGGCATCCTGTTGGGTATCTTAAACATACCACAAACATAAAACAACACTAAAACTTCAGTCTAGCTCTGCTATAAGACACTGCTGCACTATTTTATATTGCAAGTGTAAGATCTACAAGGACAATGTTTTAAAATATTCAGAAAGCTAGTATTTTTAAATGCTTGCATATGGGAAAAGGGTTATTTAATACTCAATGTAATGAATTTCTGAGTTGCATTATCTCTGCAACATCGTAAGGCAATATTGCACTCATGTTCTTTAGCTGAATGGAAATAGAGTAATGGCATTTCCACACATCCATAAGCAAAGTCATAAAAAGGACCTATAATCTTTTGATGCATACATTTAATACATTTAGGTAAGGTTTATTACAGTTCTTGCTTCCTCTCCTCAGCGTCACTCATGGTTAATGTAGAGATACACACAATGTTAAAAAACTCTCAGCAGTTCATTTCAAGTAAAGAGAAACAATGTTTTTAAGACTAGTTATATAGTTATTTTTATTCTTATTGTGCTTGATTTGGTCAAGAGGTAAGCCGTTTTGATTATTGTAATTTTGTAAATCACGGAAAACATCCGTTAACTCAAATATTTAATTATTTATGTTATTTTCTTGCAAATCTATGTTCTAAGAGTGGTTTCTGTCTGTCAAGCAAAACCAAATCATATAGCTTTGTACAGCGGATCAGTGTACACTGCCAGATTATTAAAGTCTATTCTGATGCTGCTATCACCAATATCAACAAATATAAATCAGAAATTAAGCTTTGAGTTTATTTTTAATTAGTTGCTTGTGTCATCAGAAAATAAAATTAAAATATTTTTAAAAAAGAATCCTATTGTCTTGTAGTCAAAGACCAAAAAAAAGCCATACTGCTGGCTGCAGCCATGTGCCAAAAGTAGAATTATAAGCAAGCAATTCATTTTAAGATTACTGAAACTACCCGCTGAATTATTCTTCTGCTGAGAAAATCCGGTCTATGTGCTGTGATGCAGGACAGAGCTGCCTGTCTCCCTGTCTTGTCATATTGTTTATTTTGATTAGCGGAAATGGCATGAAAGTACAGATTTTTAATACACTCTTATTGCCTTTTAGATAGATGACTTACAGTGTTTTTGGGGCACTTTCTTCCTGAATTTTGATGACTATGCCTTTTTGATGACTATGCTTTTAAAATTTTTATTGGGGAATAATAGCTGAATTTCTATAGGGATAGATGACAAATTCTATTAGGTGCAATACTGAAAATGTTCATTTGGATGCAGAGGGCTTTTTTGTTGTTGTTCAAAAAGAAAGAAATAATCCAATACAAACAGTGGTACGATTCTTGTCATCTCCCACCTTGCTCTTAAAAAAGTCTCATGCTCCTTTAAAGCAGGATCCAGAATAAAACAAGCTGAAGATGTCAGCTCTTTTAAAGTAATCTACGTAGGTTACATGGTGGAAGCCTATTTCCTTACTCCCTAACAATGAAGAACAGAGAGTACAATAGTAATTATTTTAGAAACAGCTACACTTTCTACTGTGCCTTCGTAAGAACGATTAAATGGCAACACTGAATTATCCATGAGAGTAAATAGAAACCAGAATGCTAATGCTGCTTATGAGCACACAGGTATGCTCAGAAGACTCTGCAGGGCTGTAGGTATTGCTGTACCTGGCTATAAGTGTCTGCTTTTGAAAACAGCTATTCCTCATAGATAGTTGCTTTCATTTTATTTGGCCCTACATTAATAGGTTGTCATCCTGCACAGCGTAAGAGAGGGTAGCGGAAGAAGCCGAAATAAACACTTTCTCCAGAAAGTTGGGGCAGGAGGGAGAGGTTACAGCCGGCTAGAAAATCTGTTTTTTTACACCATTACAGAAGTGCAGTCAGAGAAAAAGCAGCAGAAAGGTGTGAGGCAGATTTTCTTCATTACAACTATGAACATGCAGTGCTATAGTTATATTGCTATTGATCTGAATTCTGTGATGTGTTTTGGAGAAATCTTTGCTCTTAAGGAAAATGATAAGACAAACAGGAATCCATGGCACTTCCTTCCTTGCACAGAGTGCCATTAAAAGCAGGCAAATAAACTCAAAACATATATATTCTTTAACAAAGACATATTTTATAAAACAGAAAGAGTTACCTAAAACAACCCCCTAAAACCATCAACCAGGTACCTAAATTGTACATTTCTTCATGGTGTAAACTAATGGCAAGCAGTGTATTTTCAGCACACGCTATCCTAAACTTTCAGGGGGATACCTTATTTAGAGATCCAGTTCACCTTCTGGACCATACCCAGAAGCCCCAACACTCAATTTTACCTTTTCTTTTTCCTCTTAAAAATTACACTAAAACTACTTTTAAAGGTATTTTATTACTCCAACAGAAGTAAGCACCTGCTGTAAAACAATGTACACATTCCCATAAGGTTTTTATAAATTCTCACAAACCATTACACCCTATTTAATTTCATCTGAATTCTAACCATGTCCTTGCACTTAGTTCCACCTTACTATCTTGCCATACCATCTTACTAATAATCACTTCTGAGATTCCAATTTCTATATCTTAATTAAAACTGGACTTATCTTACAGCACTAATTTAACTCCAGGACTTTAGCAGTTGGGGCATCTGAGAGAAAAAGAATGGACTTCGTTTTAAAACGAACATGTGCTTTAAAAGTGAGGAGTTTTCTTTAGATGTGACAGATGTCCCTCAGAAAATCACATCACATCAAAGTCATTGAAACAGCACAGGCCTAATCAAAATGAAAACTATGAAGTGCATTGTACAACATATGAAAGAAAGATTATTCTACCTGTATCGGACATGCTCGATTGTGTCATATGTCAGCTTGCTGCTGATATTCTGACTATGAGGGTTGCCTAGGAGACAACAGAGATATAGAAGTTAATCATTAATCACAATTTTGCTATTAATTTTTTCTTTTATCAAAGTATTACACCAAGTCAGTCTGAAAAGATGTCAAAGAAAGATTTAACGTATACTTCACAGTAATACCCTGAAGCTCCTTAGAGCAGTTAGTCAAGGAAAGGGACATATAACACAAGAAAGCAATTATGACAGACCTTGAAACTTCAGCTGGATCTCCTACTAATAATACTTACGCAGTTCCCTTAAAAAGAAAATGCAACTGCATATGCACAAATGTACTAGGAAAAACTACAGACAGAATGCACATTCATAAATATATTTGCACACTAAATAAGAAGCAATTTAGAAGAGAGAGCATCTGGAGGTAACAGACATTCATGATTGGACACCAGGACTGGTTTTTTTTACTGTCTGAAATTCAAGTAGCTCATGAAAATATAAGTTTTAGTGCAAAATTAGTAGCCACCTTAGCACAGCTCATCATAGGCATGTATGCGTCCAGCTCTGGAGCCCTCAGCACAGGAAAGACATGGAACTGTTGGAGAAGGTCCAGAGGAAGCCACAGAAATGCTCAGAGGGATGGAACACCTCTGCTATGAGGACAGGCTGAGAGAGTTGGGGCTGTTCAGCCTGGAGAAGAGAAGGCTCGGGGAGAACTGGTTGGAGCCTTTCAGTACTTAAAGGGGGCTTATAAGAAAGATGGGGACAGACTTTTTAGCAGGGTCTGTTGCAATAGGACAAGGGGTAATGGTTTTAAACTAAAAGAGGGTGAATTTCAACTAGATAGAAGGAAGAAATTTTTTACAATGAGGATGATGAAACATTGGCACAGGTTGCCCAGAGAGGTGGTAGTTGCCCCATCCCTGAAAACCTTCAAGGTCAGGTTGGACGGGGCTCTGAGCAACCTGATCTAGTTGCAGATGTCCCTGCTCATTGCAGGGAGGGTGGACTAGATGGCCTTTAAAGGTCCCTTCTGACCCAAACTATTCTATGTTTCTGTGAGTAACAATTAGGACAGCACGCAAGAAGGGCATGAATTTATCTTCTTGAGCAAAAAAGATTACAGCAATATCCACACAGGCACAGCACAGTTTCCTATTAGTAAGTGCTTGAAGAATATGCCTAAACAGTTTGGAAAGAGAACAAGAAAAAAAATGCTATATTAATACATTTTTTTGCAGTAGGCTGCAATATTAGCTACTCTCTTTCTAAAATTTCAAAATCATCCTGCCGAAAGTTACTGAGTGAAGGTGTTAAAAAGAATAATAAATTTAGAGCTCTGACCCAAAATCTAATACTGAGTCTTTTCATGTCTGATATTGCATTTCTGTAATTTCCAATTCAAATATTCTCAATTTAGAAGTGAGAATCTCTTTTACTTACATTCCTTTCCCTCATTTACACATGCAACAGCTAAACTGCAGTTCTTTGGGCCTGTGGATTATCACCAAGAAAATGAAAAAAGCTGCAAGTTAAACTCCCCCTTCACTCACATGTTAATTGAACTCTTTTTATACAACAGTTACTGCCCTCAGTGTATCAGAGATGTAACCGAAAAAAAAAGAGATTTGACCACACTAGAGCTCTCGTTATCATTTTAGATGAAAGCAGTATTAAAAAAGATACAATTTGTTCTCCCATAGCATTATAGGTAGTATGCAAATCTGTTCCAAACTGGCAGCACTACTATTTCTATTCACAAGCACTCAACTGATGCACAAATTTATTTTTTTTCCACCACAAATGGTACTTATTATAAGCGTTGAGCCCAATGTTGTTTGAAATAGCTAAGATCAGAGTGCATACATTTCACTTTACAATAGCTGTAGTGACAGAAGATTAATTGTAGTATCACTGACATGCACTTGAATAGGAGATTTTGAATGTAATCAAATCAACGTATCTTGTTGTAACAGCAGAAGTACCACCCCTATCACAGGCAACACCTATTTCATAGTGGAACTTAAATCCACTCTCTGGAACTAGCATTCACGAAACAAAAGAGGGGGAAATGACATGTACAATGGCACATTGAAAATTAAAACTACCTAGAACTCTGAAGTGGCTCACACAGGTGATAAGCACAAGTGTGTTGGTGCCTGCGTGATCAGTTTTCTTTTAAAGCAGTGGTACCTAGTTCCCAAGTGAGGAATCACTTTGTTCTATGTATCAGGGAGCACAAGACAGACATACAATTAGCAAAAGAGACACATAGCACACAGATAGTAACAAAAAATATGAAATTTTGATTACTTCAGTGGACTACTCACTGCATATATAGATAGTACTGTGCAATATTTTTTTTTTTCTGGTTGAGCATGAATCACTCATAAATTGTCTCACACAATAACAATATTTCATAAACAATGGATATTGCTGCGTTTGTATTAAAGCACATTCAGTGTGCGGTTCTCGGCTAGATAATAATGTCTGAAAGAGATGAAAGATTTAAATAGACGATCTGGGGACAAAGTACTTGTAGGTGGTGCTGAAGTGCCCACATCCACAGCTGAAATAGCTAAATCTCCACCCAGATACTGCACAATTCTGTATATATTTTTACTCACATTCTTACGTGCAAGATTGCTTTGGCAATTCACATCCTTTTTTCTCAGTATGCACCGAAGTCTAATAGTCTGGGAGAGGTATGGCAGCTACTCCCTGCCTAAATTCACTCGGGATCTTTGAGCTAAGCTTTTTTCTAACGAAAATGCTTGTACTGAGCCACAGTATAAGCTCCCTGTGATGACTCTCACTGAGAAGGGGGTTGGTTCTGGATTCTGGTCCTTGCATAGGAAATTTGTTTTGCATCTTGCATGGAAAAAAAAAAAAAGAAAGACTGAACAAACAGTGTTCAGAGCTACATTTTGTTTATCCCCAGCATGGTACCTTAAGCCCTGGGCAACAAAATCCCTTTGATTTTTCTTCTTCACCAACACAGACACGTTGTTGGCCACCAAAGAACAAGCTAGGGGTGACACAAAGGGACTATGACTCCTTTGTAAAATCACTGGTCTTGCAACTACTCTATAGCAGTGTTAAAAAACCCATAGAAATATTCTTCCAACAACCCAAGAGGCACAGTTTTGATCTATTTAGATGGAAACTTGAGAAGACTAATGGGAACCCTGTTTTGCACTTACCATAAATGTTGTTCCTGAGGTCATCAGTAAAAGCTTTAAGTAGACTCTCTGGGAAAAGCGCTGAACCGGCATGGTCAAGGTAAGTAATCCCTAAAATAAAAATAAAATTACTAGATTCAATTTTTTAAATATTTAATTCCATTTTCTCCCACAGACTACATTGTGAAGTGCACCATTCAAACACCCTTAGTGCAGTACACCACACAAAAAGTCAATTTCCCTAAACTTCCTGGGGTGTGACATTTCTGTGCCTGACTTAGAGGTCTCTACAGCTCTCAAAAAATGCTTCTCAAATATGTTCCAATAGTCAGGCAATAATCACAGCAATGCATCTTTCACTCACTAGCAGACAAAAAAGGAGGATACAATAGAAGCCCAAGATTTTGATTGCATCTTTATAATTTTTAATTAAAACCAAAATATTTTAAGAGGTCCTTCCTTTCATGTTTAGATTACACATTCTTTGGAAGAGAAAAATCTTTTTGTTCTGCCTGTACAAGACTGAGCAAGCTGGTGTCTTCAGCCACAGTACCTTGTTACTCTTAGGCACTACTTACTATGAAAACTACTATTCCCACAATGATAATAATTATTACTAATAGCAACAACAATAGTTGAAGATGAAGAAGTCATCACTGACATGGCCTAAATGATGCTTGAGGCCCAAAGACAGGACTACTTCAAGTTTTAATGTATTTAAATATTTCTTGCCACTCTGCTGCACTTAACATTCAATTCATTTTAAAAATATCCTTTTATATTATAAAGCTATTGCAAAACTTTTAAAGAAAAGCTTATTGGAAATGAAGGCTTTTTCATGTTTGGCCATTTTAGATTTCTTAATCTTCAGCAATTATTCTTCCATTTCTCCAGTGTGTTTCATACCCTTTATTAGTTTTTTCATTTCACTTACCTTAAGTATTTCAACCTATTTCAAATTTTAATAATGATGAATATGATTAAGATTAGAATTTATTAAGTATTTTAAAGGCCTTCCCTTTTCACGGGGATTTCAAACGGAGTTGAGCTTTAAACAAGAAGCCTTGATACTTGAAAATATATATAATTATATATTATGTTGCTGTAGCAGTGATTCAGTAGGTAAAAATGTGAGGCAGTACCAATGATAAAAAGCAATCTGGACACCCCTCCTTCCTCTTATTTTGGAAAGAGAAAAGCCTTCTCCACCTTAAGATTTCCCTGTTCATAGTATCTAGCAAAAGCCAAATTTTTAATAATGGCTTGAAGGTAGTCAAGAAAAAGTGTTTGGAAGTGATTTGAGGGGAGAAGGGTGGGAAAAAAAAATGATTGATTTATTAGATGTACGGACTTTTTAGGGTTTGGTGGTTTTTTTTTTTTTTATCCTAGAAAGTTTCTCCCAAGCAGCATGAAGTGGCACATAAAGAGGTCAAAATGGCTATGGGGTCTGTCTGGCCCAGTTTCTGGCAGGAGAGGTGACAGCCGCTTGGCTCACCCCCAAAACACAGGGCCTTCGGAGGGTGAGAGGTATGCTGCATCATGGAGGGAGACAGCCAGGCCCCTGCCTGGCAGAGTGGCATGGCCTCAGCCAGCAAGGGAACACCAGCAAGGGGACGGCAGCTTTCTCTCCAGCAGGAAAGCCTGGACACTACAGGCTACACTCACCATGGCCGCCCTGCGGCGCGTTGCCCGCCTGAGACCAGGGCCTGCCGCGCGGCCCACAGCTTGGCACCAGACGCCTCCACTCTGAGGTGGAGCTGAAGTGGGGAGTAACAGCCACAACCACCGGCATGGGGGCCCAGCTCGATGGCAGTGGTCACTGGCTACAGCTGGGAGAGCCGGGAAAGGCAGCCCGAGAGTTGAGAAAGGGAAGAGGCAGCCCTGAGCCAGACACAGGGGGGAAGGACTGCCGCCCCAGAGGCGGCCATCCGGGACACTTTCTCTCTCCAAAGCCCACACAGAGGTGCCATTTGGCTCATTAGCTCTTACGGGCACCACAGCCCAGCGATGCTCCCCTGGAGACAGAGAGCTGCCGGTCTTGGATTCTTCCAGCCCTAAGGAGGCCGACAGCACCGAAGTGGTAAGGCAACCGTACAGCGCGAGCAAACGCCAGGCAACCAGCTGAGGGTCCTCAAACACAAACCTTCCACCGCCGCGGGGACGGGCGCCTTCCGTCCCGACCGGCGCTCCCGCGAGCCCGTGTCGACTAAAAGGTCTCTAGGTCAAGGCCCCCTAAGTGGGTTTTCGAATTTGATTTGTTACATTGCTAATTACGAAGTACAATACTGTGGTTCTGTGAAATGGAGGTAAAAAACTAGCTGGTCATTTTTTAAGTTCCTCCTGTGGGTATATTACTCTGAAAATGTGGGAGGACATTTGGCTGAGGAAGGAAAAATTATGCATTCTTAAACTTTTGTTTTATCTTTAATGCCGCTGTTTGACTGAAAAGAGAGAACAGCATTTAATACTCTCTCAATTGCCCGAAAAAAAAAATAGGCTCTCTCATCATGTGAGACTGCATTGAAACAAATATCTTTACTGTATTGTACTTTTCTGTTGAAATTTTTTTCTTCCTGTCTTATTTCAATAAAACTATATTTTTAGAGGAAAGAAAAATATGTGGCACATGCATAACACCAGCAAAGAACAGAACATTAATAACTTTCATTGTGCTTTTCCCCTGGTTTAATAACATTTGCTATTTTAACTTTATTGAACACACATTAGCCAAAGAGATTTGTCAGTGTATACAGAATAATACAGCTCCCCGTGTTTCACTGTGGTATTTAGTATATAGGCTGTCAGCACGATGAAATTATATTGTTTATGGAAAGTAACAGAAGAAAGAAAAAATAATATGATCAACCAAAAGAAAATTAAAATGCAGTATCTATCAGGACATAGCTTCATTGCTTGGGGAAAATGTAAAATTAACTTTTAGTTTAATTTACATACTATTATGTTTGGAATGTGTAACTAACTTCATTGATCTAATAATATACCAACTATTTGATAAAATCACATTTCAGAAGTAGTTTTTTTTAATAGGAGTATCGAAATCCATTCATTGTGTTGGCATTAGTTATGGAAGTCATTCAGCAAGAGTATCAGTTCATAAGCTGTAATATTCACATGCTAATATTCTTGCAGATTAATTTTACATGGGGAAGTCTTTGGGAACCAATGTGGGCCAGTCTGTCCTGCTGA